CGGAAGCCGAAGATTCGGAAACTACTCGGTCAATCGTGCCGCCCACATCCTTTTCCGAATCGCCATCTTACATTACCACTGTGTCGGGCGTGTCCCCCTACAGGGGGATTTTCGACGAAAAATGAAAAATACCCCAAAAAGACACCAAAAAGGCAAACAAATATCCAAAAAATAGTCCCCAGACTAGTTTTGGACTGTTTTTTTTTTTGTTTTTTTTTTTTTTGTTTTTGTTTTTTATTTTTCGTCGAAAATCCCCCTGTAGGGGGACAGGTCCGACTTAACATTGCCAGTGATGCTGCCACACACCCTCCCATCCCAAGTCCCCTCCCCACGAATCCCTGCAAGAGCTGGCCTTCGCTGCGAGGGGCGCCCCCTTGGGAATGGCGGGCGCCCCGTGGGCGTGCCGTTCTTCTGCGCCCCGCCCCGGGTCTCTCGAGGGGAGGCCGCGACGCGCGTCGGCGTGTGCCTTTCGGGTGGGGGCCCCGTTGTGAAGCGGAGCCGCCTTGTGCGGAGGGGCCACTCAGGGTCGGAGCCACACTCCCAGGAGGCGCTCCTGACCCGTCCGGCGGCGGCAGCAGGCGGGGGAAGGGAGGGAGGGAGGGAGGTAGAAGGGAGGGAGGAGCAAGAAGGAGGAGAATCTGCGTATCGGATCTCTGACAATGTCAGGTATTTCAACGACGTTAAAACCTTCGAGCTCGCGGGCCACTGCCGCTGACCCGAGCAAGAAGGACAGCTTGGGCTCCAGCTCGCAAAGCCCGAGAGAGCTGGAAACGTCTCCGCCGACTTCTCCGCGCAGACCGCGCCCAAGAAGTGACAGGCGTGACAAAAAGGACACGCCCTCGAGAGAAAGAAAGCACCGCCGCGCAAGGAGAGAGAGATAGAGAGAGCAATGGCTAGACGCAGATATGCACGTAGGACCGAAGCTTTAAACAAAAGTCTGGCAGATGTAGCGAAGGCCGACACGAAGACAAATCACGGCCAGTGCCTCATGAAACACGAGGAACAACGTGAGGTGCCACAGGACCTACTCGATCGCCAGAAACCGAAAACACCACAGCCAAAATGGTGCGACCAGATAAATCTGAGTACGCCGTCGTGCTGCATACCGTGCACTTCCCATTCATGTTAGGCTGCTCGGGAATACGGCCCTGGCAGTGACCCGTCGTATCCACCTGAGCTGCTGGTCGGCCTTCGAGCCGCTCACAGTCCATTTTTTTTTTTTTTGTGTGTGTGTGTGTTTGTTGTTTCCCCGCGTCAGAAACTTTCCTACGTTTGGGCCTCACAGGTCGCCCACGTAGGGTACCACTGATGAGCCATGTCGCTACGGCAATCGACGTGCACACAACAAAAGCGCCCGTTCCTGCTGCATATTATTGGCCAACGCCGCAGCTCATCGCTAGTGCAGACATGCGGATCTATGTAGGCAACATCAAATTCCGTGGCCGCGGCACTGGGCTCGGGCCTGCGCCCACCTTTGGGCGGCTGGAGTTGCCCGACATCGGGCGAGTCTGATTCAACAGAGCGCTTCCTACTGCCGGATGGTCTGTCTGTCGAGCTCATCACTCTGCTAATGTGCGACCGTTGCCATGGCGACCTCTCCGCCCTGATCGATGATCCTTCCCTGGCTGGGCGACTGTCTTGCCGCGTGCGCCTTGGGGATCTTGGTGCTAGCTCCGCGCTCGTGCTGCTGATCGCGTTTGGGCGCTGTGGCTGCTTGCTCGACGAAACTTGACGCATGTGGATGAGGACTCTGCCCCTGCTTCAGGGTAGCGCCCTCCTGCGGGGACGGCGGTGCTGAAACCGCACTGACGCCGCAGCTGCTGGCTCTATCATCATCCTGTTGCTCCCCGCCAAATGCCGCCGACTTGAACAAACATCACCAGTGCTTGGGGAACCTGATGAAACGCATCTGCGTTGTGGTGCAGCTGCTGGCGCGACTTGTGGCACAGCCTGCCCACTCCCGCTGGCAGAAGAGCGTTTGACCTGGAGCAGGACGGGCGCTGCTGCTCGCTGCACGTCGTCAGCCGTGCTGCTGAAGAGGTCGGCCTGCATTCCCGCTCGCACGACGGGTGGCTCGGGGAGCTCTGTCCACAAGGTGAGGTGACTCCCTGCGGGGAGCACATCTCCTGAGGGAGTCATAAGTTGCGCAGGCGAAGTGGTGCCGCCCCCTAGGCTCCCTGGGGGAGGGCCAGTCCAGGAAAGTGCCAGTGCTTTTTTCTTCAAGCTGTCAGGATCGATATTCTCAGTACGGGCCCAGCGTATGACGCGAGCAGTGGCGCCATACCGGGTGCACGGAAGTTCAACACACTTGGTAACATTACGCTGCTGCACCACAACAAACATGCAAGGCAGGATATTGGTGCCTGTCTTCGCCTTTCGCCCTGGGTTTCCGCCTCGTCCTTTGGGATGTTCTCCTCCAAAGTCTTCTCCTTGATCAGGACAATCTGCTGGGTGCTGCTTGCGGTTCTTGCCAGACTGCGCTCGCCGTGACCGCCTGCTTGGGCTTTTTTTGATATATACGAGTGGCACGTGTGTGCCCAGGCTCATACAAAAAACTGAAGGGGCGTTTGAAGCAGGAGTGAAATGCAACAGCGAAGTCGCACTCGAGCGCAATTGGGGTTGCCACACCTTGCGATGTGTGTACCAGGGCCCCCCCAGGAAGCCTCAGGAGGCCCGACTTGGATACCAGAAGAGGCTCCAGGAGGCCCCAGGATTGTAAGTGTGGTGTGTATGTGTGTGTGTGTGTGTGTGTGTGTGTGTGTGTGTGTGTGTGTGTGTGTGATGTGTGCTCTGTTGTACGTGCTTTTTGTGCGTTGTAGGTGTTGTGTGTGTGTGTGTGTGTGTTATGTTTGTCTAGCGTGTGATGTGTTGGGCGTGATTTGTGTCTCTGTGTGTGCATGTAGTTCTGAGGCCTCAGGAGGCCCCAGGAGGCCCCAGGCGGCCTCAGGAGGCCCCAGGAGACCCCAGGAGGCTTCAGGAGGCCCCAGGAGGCTCCAGGAGGCCGCAGGAGGCCCCAGGAGGCCCCAGGAGGTTTCAGGAGACCCCCAGGAGGCTCCGAGGCGGGGTCTGGGGTACCAGAAGGTTCAGAAAGCCCCCGGAGGCCCCAGGAGGTTCCAGGAGGCCCCCAGGAGGCTCCGAGGCGGGGTCTGGGGTACCAGAGGGTACGTCGGGGCCCGATTTTGGGAGGATGTTTCAGCCGAAACCGCCATTCTCTGAGAATCGGGGTCACAATTATTGAAATCACCATGTGTTTTTGAAGGTTTTATGCTAACATGTTGAAGTTGCCATGTGATTTTGGACCCTGACGTCACGATCTGCGTGAGGGGTGCCACCGATTTTCAGAATTTCGAGGATGTCCCTAGCGAAACGGCCAGAAACATCGCGAGCGCGGCGCCCCGCGTACGCATTAATCGCCTCTGAGCTCTACTCCCTCGGAGAGGTGCGTATGATAATATATATATATATATATAGATACCTTGGGCTTACCAATCTTCTTATGGCTACTTTTTGGCGTAGGAGTGTCGATGACCTGCAACTTGACGATCCTCTGGATACAGCATCACAAGCTCCGAGGATGATTCTGCCCCGACAACTTCCTGTCCATGTTCTCACCACGGGAACTGACAGGAGTGTCACGGGCTGGCTTCGTCGGGTAGGCGACCACGATGCGAAGGAACGTTATCCTGTTGAGAGATGTGTGCATTTCCCGAGTGGTAGTTGTTGGGGGAAGTCTGCATAGCCGAAGATGCGCTGGCGGATGAAGTTCCCGACATGCTGTACCACGGGCAGGTGTTCTCGCCAAGGACTGCTTCCAGTCGGTCCACTTGCCCGGCGAGGGATGCGACCACCAACCAACTGTGACTGCGACCCCGGAGGCGCGATACCGATAGATTGTTGAAGTCGGTCGAGGCCGTGACGAGCACGCGCAAGTCGACCACCTGCGTGCGTTTTCGCAGCTGCCCAGCCGACCAAGTGAGCCACGAGCAGATCCCGTACTTGCTGCATGTCCTTGAGCCTCCCGTCCAGCACCCAATTCGACTCGTCGTTGTATTGATCGGGGTTCCCGCTGTTCTCGAAATTGTAAGTGGCCGCTGCGCTGTCAATGATGCCGTGGAGCCTCTCGCTCTCGCTGACCGGCGGCGAACCCGTGCTCGGAGAGGGGATCAAATCTTTCGTGAGTATCAAGCCCGATGTGTCTGAATGCTCCCCGTGCCCACACCAATCCTGCTGCGGGGCGCCAGTGGTTTTGACAGAAGGTGGGGGAGGGCGCCTGTCAAGAAACCGAGACCGACGGACCTGAGCCCGATGATCATCTTCCACAGCGCCTTGCCGCTTCGTGCCCTTGCCTGCTGCGTTGCCACCATCCGTGCAGAAAGACAGACACGCCTGCTCGGTCAGCCCGCAGCCACGGTCACGTGGCCCTCGGCCTGTGATCGGCGTCACCCCAATATACTTGTACTATATGTGCGTCGCCCCCCCAGGGGCGACGCGCGCACCGAGAAATCTTATAGTACATGCGTCGTGGCGGGCGCATTCTGGCCACACCGCTCGGGAAGCGATACACTACAAGATGGGTATGCTATATGTGCGGGTCGGACGCGCGCCTCCAGGGAGAACGTACAGTATTAGTAGGTCCCTGTGCGTTCCATGTGAAGGCTGTAAGGCACGCTTTCCGCTTGCAGCCTGGGAAGGATTCATCGCAGAGCGATCGTGGCGCGCGTGCCCCCGGAGCACAGCGTGGAGGCGAGGCGCCCCGCCCCGGGCTGCCGCAGCTCGAGGGCGAGACGGCTCGAGCCGAAGGGGCTGCGCAGGAGCAGCGAGAGGGAGGGAGGAGGGGCAGGAAGGAGGAGGCAGGAAGGAGGAGGCAGGAGGGAGGAGGGACTGGAGGGAGGAGGGACTGGAGGGAGGGAGGGAGGGAGGAGGGCGGGAGGGAGGAGGGGCAGGAGGGAGGAGGAGCAGGAGCCCGACCCCCGCGGCCTGGGGGGGGCCGCCCCCGGGAGGAGGTCCTCGAGGGGCCCGTGCCGCCCCAGAAGCGGTCGCCCACGGGCTCCCGGCGGGTCAAGCAGGCGGGCGCGCGCTCTCCCCCCCCCGCTCGGCGGCGGGGCCCTCGTCGGTGCGATCGGTCCGGGTCGACGTCCGTCGCTCGTGGGCTTGTTTTCCACCACCACCACCATCAGCAGGAGGGGGGGGGGGGGTCCTCTGCCTCCTCCTCCTCCTCCTCCTCCTTCTCCTCCTCCTCCTCCTCCTCCTTCTTCCCCCCTCCAACTCATGGTGGTGGTGGTGCCAGCGCGGCCGCGCAGATGCACCAGCCAACGCCAAGTACTCATCGCAATCGCCGTCGCAAGGGTTCTGCAAACCAAATTGAGGATAGGTGGGTGGGAGGATTGCGCGGGCACTGGAGCTGACAACTCACTGCGAAAGTTGGTAAATTGCACCGCGTAGATGGCACCGCATAGATCGCACCGCATATATTGCATCGCATATATTGTTCCTCATAGGTTGCAAAACATAGATGGCTAGAAACACGGTTTGGGGTCCACATTAGCTAACATGTGCAGGAAAAACGGGGTGAATGGATGGATGGATGATGGCTGGCTGGCTGACTAGCTGGATGGATGGATGGATGGGTGGGGGATGGATGGATGATGAAGAGGAGGAGGAGGAGGAGGGGGACGATGATGATGCTGCTTATGATGATGCTGATGTTGTCAATGACGATGCTGATGATTATGCTGACGATGATGATGATGATGATGATGATGATGATGATGATGATGATGATGATGATGATGATGATGCTGACGATGCTGACGACGATGACTATGACGATGACGCGGATGATGATGATGGTGCTGATGATGATGGTGATGGTGATGAGGATGATATTGATAATGGTGACGATGATGCTTCTGTTGATGATGATGATGATGATGATGATGATGACGGCGATGATTAGGACAACGCTGATGATGACAATGGTGATGGTGAGGATGCGGAGTAGGGGGATGAGGATGGGGAGGAGGAGGAGGAGGAGGAGGAGGAGGAGGAGGAGGGGGAGGAGGAGGAGGAAAAGGAGGAGGAAGAGGAGGAGGAGGAGGAAGAGGAGGAGGAAGAGGAATAATCACAAACAAAATGAATGTGAATAAGCATAATAATAGTAAGAACAATATAAGAACGACAGTCATACTACTCGTCGTATTAATATTAATAATCATAGTAATAATCAGAAGAATACGAGTTTTAAGTCTAATAATAAGAATGCGAATGCTAAGAATACCAAGACTATTAATATTATGAACACGAAGACTAAGCATACGTATGTGAAGACGAATAGTACGAAACATCATATTCATACTAACATTAACAGTGATAATGCTAATCGTTTGATAAGAGTACTACTAGTAATATGAAAACGAATGCTCATAATACGAATACTCATGGTGATATAAGAAAAATAATGAGAATATTAAACATATTAATAACACCAATAAGAGTAGTACTAAGAATACCAATAATAATGACACTACTGAGAATTATAATGATACATCAGACGAGCAATAATAATATCAAGAACACTAAGAAGACGAACACTATTAATAATAGTACAATACTAAACATATTAATAGTAATAGCAGTAAGAACACATCATAATAATGATACGCATGCGTAGAAGAAGCAGACGAATAATAATAACAATTATATTAAGAAGCATAATGCTACTACTAAAACGAATAATAGTAATACTACGAAAAGTAAGAAGACGAGGAGGAGGATGAAGTGGAGGAGGAAAAGGAGGTGGAGGAGGATGAGGAGGAGGTGGAGGAGGAGGGGGAGGAGGAGGACGAGGAGGAGGCGGAGGAGGAGGAAGAGGAGGAGGAGATGATGAGGAAGAGGAGGAAGAGAAGGAGGAGGAGGAGGAGGAGGAGGAGAAGGAGGAGGAGGAGGAGCAATAATGATGATTATAATACTAATACTAGTAAGAAGAATACGAACACCACCGCTACTACTACTACTACTACTACTACTTGTACTACTACTACTACTACTACTACTACTATTACTCCTACTACTACTAGTACTACTATTACTACTACTGCTACGCATACTACTAAGACGTTTACGAATAAGACGTGTAACAACAGTAATGTTAAGAAGAGTAGTGTTGCGAAAGCTACCAGTAATACCACTACTAATAATAATGGTACTAATAATAACAACAAGCGCGACACTAATAATACTCACGCGAATACTAATAATGAAAATGCTGAGAATATTACGAACACTAAGATTAAGACGACGCGTAATAATACTAAAACGAATAATAGA